GGTATAAAATGCAGTGACTGATATTCTCTAATCCCAGGTTTAATGCACGCAGAAGGCATCTCTGTTGACTGTTAATGACATATCCAAACTCTGCACCGTCCGGCTAATGTGGTCTACTGACCCATGTGACCCCTTTGCAGTCTAACACGACAGCTACGTAGCCAATGTAGATGCATATCTGACCACTTCAACCCAGCATATTATGTGCTTACCTTTTACTAGTACACTTGCGTGGTTCAGTTTTTCATGACTACCATTCGTTTCCCTAATGAATGATATTATCAACATGACTAACACACGACCTAGAGCCTGTTGTTTGCTTTTCAGTTTTTTGAGTTTATTAGCACCCACCACCTGTGACTCAATCTGTTGCATAAGGTCCCGATGACAAGAGAGGCTACGTACTCTCAAGTTTGGCGTGATCCCGTAAATGCTGTTAGTTGAGTGCGCGCCAGTACTACAATGCGGGTGCTGGTAGAATGTTCACCGGCGCCTGTCGAAATATCTTTTTATTAATTTTGTATAGTCAGTGACTAGATTTATGGGTCTAGTAAGTAGTAATCTCTGGCGCAATTAGTATATTAAAATATGCAATAGTGGTACTGATGCTCAGAGCAGTTTTAATTGCTATATAGGTACATATAAATGATATGATCTGTATTGAAATTATATGAATATGTTCAGTTTTCCACCTCAAATAAAAAGGTGATTGTTTTCTAATTTTACAAAAGGTTTGTCAGTCAACGCCATTTTTTGGTTGGGCTTTAGTTGCCTAAATAAAAATAATAGTTTTGCGACGACAAATATGTAAACTGTGCACCAGTTGAGAACGCGAAATAAAAAAATTAACCCATACTGTTTAAACGACTTCGCTCCAACATTGCTTAACAGAAATCCTTCAAATTTAAATTTATGCCACTTATTCTGACTACTTATGTAATCTTATTTGTATTCTCTGCTTAATTGACCATGACAGTTTCTTATACTGCGTTTTTTTAAAAAGTACGGCTTCTAAAATGCATACGATTTAAATGGCCGACTGTGGCAGTCTTGTATGAGCTCTAAAGGGGCAACTAAATCTGTTTGGTATTTTGAAATATGCAGCAACCAGTAAGCTATCAAAACCTGGAATAAATCCTTTCCTGAGATTTTCATGACATGCTAACACTAAAGTGCATAAAAGGACTCAAGTAAATACTCAGATGCAAAAATTTCACCGCCTTGCTGTTGCTTGCATCCCGCAAGAGACATTCCCAAATTTAAACCCATAGATCAAGTGGCAAAGAGCTGTCCGCACCAAAGACTAAGCTTTCCTGACAATAGTTTGAACTCTACATTACCCGCCGAAATTTATCCCAATATAGTGGTCGGTCGACCCACTTGAATATATAAAAACATATATTACATACGAGGGAATTTAATAAACTCGGTCTGGGAAAGTGAACAAATCAAAACAAGAATCACAACCCGCGGTTCACAGGCAAATCGTAGTTAAATATTTTAGGGAAAAGGAAGCCTTAGTTCACTTGTGGACATGCCTTAGGCGGTACCACACGTGACTTGCCTAGGTAGAAATTAACTTCTCATAAAAAGATAAATGCTCCAAATTACTTTATTCTTTTTCTTGCAAAGGGATCGTTTTCGTGCGGGTGCCGCGACAATCTACACGATGTACGGGGTTTCACTGGTAGACAGCATAGCCAAGCGACGGAAGAAGTCGCAGGAAAAGATCGAAACAATTTCAAAAAGGTCTTACAGTTTTGCCTGACTAAGTCTTACTTATTTTGCATTCCATACAATTTATTTCCTTAAAATCAAATACTGCGTTGTCGCAAAACCCAACATACCTTGCTGTCGGGTTTGTAAACACTACATTCAGTGTTTTGATGAATTGGTTTGCACTATACCAAGGCATAGCGCAGAATACAAAGATGCAACATTTCTACTCGAATTTATCGTTCAATTACCGAGGATGGCCAATATTTGCAATGGT